AGCTACATGGGCAGTAGCTCATTAATGCCTACTATCAATAAGTCTAGAGAGCAAACCATGATATGATCACAGGTTCATGTGAGCACACGGTCTGTCCGGATACATTACTTCGTCACGCACGTTGCATAGCTCCTGTGTATATTGCTTTTGTTCTTTGCAATTACAGCTATCTGGCTTTGTGTATCTCATTAAACTACACATGCTCTGCTTTTTTGGTCATTGTAAGTTGGCATTTCTCTTACGCTTCGATTGCATTTAAGCAAAATGTGCTGCATTTTAAAATTAATGAGAAATTTTTTCTGGTAGTGCATTGCACCTGTGTGTTGGCCCTAATTTCACTTTATCTTACTATGAACGACCATCCATTTTGAATGTTGGCTGCTTTGTAACGGATTCTTAGATTTTTTTCTGACGCCATATTATCTATTTCGGTTGCTACTTAAATCTATAATCGTTAAAATAAATCCTTAGCCGTTGAAGGGTTGAGTATTTTATGGGAAAAACGTGTTAACTGAATCTATATTGATAAAAGCAGTTTTGCACGAAGGTTTTGGAACTGATGCACTGAATTGCTGGGGTTAGCGGGGAATTGAACCCCGGACCTCTCGCACCCTAAGCGAGAATCATACCACTAGACCACTAACCCTTGTAACAAATCGTGTAACAAGCAGCTCCAGTGGAACTAAGAACGATCAAACAGTTTCAATTTTGCCTTTCAAATCATCATAGACCATTTTAATTGCTCTTATCAATTCCATAAAGCTTTCTTGTCAATTGCTCAATTGCTGTGCCTTGTCAACGGGTAAACGAAAGAAGCAATTCCACGGAATATGGTAGTAACAACGTGTCTAAACGGTTGAATTACGACCTCTCTTAACGTAGACTTCGCCTCTCTGACTTACTCTGAAGCTTGACAAGAGCGTCAATAAGGCTGATTTTATTTCCGATTCTGTCCTCCTACATAAAGTAGATACCATCATTTTCATTCGCTACAACTGAGCAGCAGCAAAGCTTACCCACGACTCCAGCAATAACGGGCAAAATTCATATGTATATTAGTTACGGAAAGGTACAAACCATTTATTTGGTACTTACGCAATGCTAACTTTTCGGAGCTTTCGAAGTCTATCACGCTCCGTTGTCAACGATCCTTTCTTTTGAAATGCAGAGATACCCACTTGCTTCCAAATTGCTTCCAACTACAATGGTTCCATGGACTTACTCCTCGCTTAACACGTATACTAGCATCAGACGGTTTCGCCATATTACGAAGTGCCATACGAGACCATAGACGCTCCTTAACCAGACTCGCAGCTCAAGTGATCGTTGACAACGGAGCGTGATAGACTCTGAGAGCTCTGAAATGTTAGCATTGCGTAAGTACCAAATAAACGGTTTGTACCTTTCCGTAACTAATAGACATATGAAATTTCAAAACGCCGTTACTGAATCTTTTATTTTCAATGGGCAAAATTAGCCATATCGACGTCACTATTCAATGTTCGACATTACGAGAATACGTTAAGATGTCAAGGTGAACGTTCCGCCTCTGGATTGTATATTACATAGTTTCAAGCTTGCTTCAGTTGCAGTAGTTAAAGAAAGGTTAGTGTTTCTGTCCCGTGTGGTCTAGTGGTTAGGATTTGTGGCTCTCACCCACACGGCCCGGGTTCGATTCCCGGCACGGGAAATTTCCCATTTTATGGAGCAGGTATTAATAAAACTTACAGTCATGCTACCTATGCGAGAAAACGTCTGTTCGTTACAAAAGTTAATCCAAACGTATAATTACCGCGTGTCAAAGCTGTCGGGTTCTTTAATCGTTCCCTTAAAAATGCTCATTCTGCTGCGATCAGCGTCGAGTATGCATCAACCCGAAAGATGGAACCATACACAGTCAATTCTTCCTTGTTATCCAAAGTTCGTTATTCGAAGTTTCGATTATTTGAATCCGCTGAGGAGAACAATGCAGTCAAAGTAGGAGCGAATGATGTCCAAGGCAGGCTGCGGTGCCATCGCTCCCTGAAAGGAATTATTTTCGTTTTCTGCTATGCTAAGTTCACTCTGCCATTGTCTTCTTAAGTCTAAAAAGCACTACCCGAACAAATGATTCCAATAGCAAGGAAGAATATAGCATATGACCGGTGTAATGGTTGGTAGGTTAGGCGCTTCAACATCCTTAGTTCGTTGTGCGCTATTGTTGTGATTTCTGCTTGGATTTTAGTCGTACGTTTGCTCATTGTTTCCTTATCTTTTCAAATCATGCCTACATTTCGTACGTTTGTTCTAGTGATTTCCCAAAATTGCAGACTGCGTTTTCGTTAAGGAAAATTGTGATAATTGCAATATATAAACCGTTAGAAAGACTCCAATATTCAAATATTTCGAATATCAATATGACAGTAGGTATGGTACCTGCGAGTCAACTGGCTTTCCGTTATCTGAACTTTTCGTTGTACGAAGGGCCCCTTGGCAACCATAGTTCAGATAACGAGGTTTCACTATAGCTCCTAAAGTTACGTTATTCTCCGCTTCGTCGTGAAAGAATGCTTTGCAGTATTTGTATTAATAAGAACACGAAGTGTGACTCCGTATCAATAAATCCAATTTTCAATCAAACCTTCTGTACGAAAGCCAAATGCTCTCTTGTATACTTGTGTACTATTCGGTTCTTCGAAGAACAATTATTTACTTGTTAGTACACTGAAACCAAACCTGAACCGCCGCTTGGGAAAAGCCTTTAACAAAGCTGCCACAAAAATGGGACTGAAAACTACACTTCAGTTATTAATGTCATTGAAGGCAGCTGTAAATGTTGATTATTCACTTTAGATTGCTCCGACAGATGAAACGCGGCATTGGCTTTTTTAGAACTACACTGTAACGTCCTCACAAGCAACGGGCGACAAAACTGATAAACTGACGTGAAGCTTTTCTGTCAGATGATATCTTTATTTGCATCATGGCGAATATTATTGCGTCATATGAACTGCAACAATCGGTTCGGTTAGCAAGTGATATTTTCATTGTCTGCTCGAAGCATTTTTAGCCTTAGTATAAAGCATGAAATCGTTTGCGTAAATGCAGCTCGTATTAATTCAGGAAAGAAACGAAAGGAGACTGCGAGAAGTACTTTAACTGGGGTTAGCGGGGAATCGAACCCCGGGCCTCTCGCACCCGAAGCGAGAATCATACCACTAGACCACTAACCCGCGCAGTTTAACGTCGGCTACTCCTTTTAGGGCGAAGAAAACGGGTGTAGGAAGAAATACTTTTGCAAAAAGCTTTTCATGACACGCTTACGCAAATTTGCTGAAAAACCCACCTTATGCTCTCTTGCATAGCTCCCAAC